GTGTTTCTTATGCTCTCTCTAACAGAAGTTTAACAAGATCGCATCAGGTATCAGTGCTTTAAACCCCACCTCTTCCAGAGAGCTCTTTGAGAGAGATAACATCAGATCTGTTTCAAACACCACTGTGTCATTCGATTACTATTCATGCCCTATTGTACCCTCTTGTGGTTCCTTACTAACTCTGTCGTGTGATAGAAATCATCAGATCTCAATATACAGAATATGATCTGGAATAGTTCCTCATACTTGTTAAAGTTCTCTGTTTATATTCTCTGTTTAGATGTGCATATTATAAACACATAATGAATTTAGGTATGCAATTTATTTTTGGTGGTACTAAAACAGTTATTCACAGCAGCAAAAGTGACATGAATATGGTTAAAACATCCTTTATAATTGTGTGTATCAGGATTAACATAATGTAACACAATCGAGTCAGGTGGTCAGTGGGTTATAGAATAATTTTAGGGTAATCCAAATTGATTAATGCTTTTGAAAGGAAGTATGTAATTACTATCAGTAATGTATCAGTAGGAAATATAAATATAATTTATTGTAATAAAAAAAAAATCTGCAGATTATTTCATATTTTCTTTACTGAGTTTGGGGGGGGCGGGTGCAAATAACAGGTGATGTGAATTCTGGTCATTCCAGTTTGGTGGAAACACGGGAGCTTTGTGCAGATCTGTGCACAGAAGTGTGTTTGGTTATTTTATCCTCTGTAATGTGTCTCCCTGAGCTTTTGTATCAGTGTTGAGTGTGTTTCAGTCACTGTGGGCCTCAGAGCACAGTAGTACACAGCAGAGTCAGACACACTCACATCCTGGATTGTCAGTGGAACCAGGGTGCGAACTACGGGGAAGCTAGGGGGAGCTCGGCTCCCCTTAATAAGACATGGGCTCCCCTGAAAACGTGATTTGTGAAATTTTGGGGGGTCTCAAAAAATATTGACAATGTGTTATTTTGAAGTGCAATTTTAGTTTTGTGTAATGTGATCATCGTAGATTATTATGTGTAAAATTGAAAAAATATTGTTCATTCATGCATGACGGAGATTTAAATCTAATTCACTTCAATAAAGATAACTATACATGCTATTCTTGTCATGAGCATCAATGTGTGGGGGCGCTGCGGTGCAAATTCCACTCATGTTTAGTACATGTTAACTCAAAGATTCGTAGAAAAAATATAAACGTTGGACTCTGTGGTCGATTCTGTGTTAAGGTAAGGCATGCTATTCGCAATTAAGTGTTGTGGCTGGGTTGTTATAGGTCTGCGTGACTCTCGATGTCTTAGGCCTAATTGAACGGAGGAATTATGGTATTCTTCTGTAGCCTGACGACGAGTAACTTTAACCGTTGTTAATTTGAACTCAAAGACAGCCTGATGCTTTGTTTCTATACTATTTGTGGGTGGCTGTTTGTTGTTTCACCTATCAATTCGTGTCGATAAAGTATAATAGGGTAAATCCTGTATAGTGATTTATCCTATATAGCGCTTGCATAAAGCAAGTAGTGCATACACTTGTAGCTGTTATGTATCTTTGTAAGGCATTGTAAGCCCTCTTTTGAGGCAGTCATTTGTCTTGAAGCTTGTCCAACTCTGTCTTGTCCCCAGCACACTGGAAAATAGATTTACCCATTATTCATGTAGTGACACTGAGTATCTCACAAAAAGATAAAGTGTAAATAATGAAATAATGTTCTTACCAAACTCATGAGCGGTGAAGAAAAAAGTAATAATCACCCACTTTGCCATTGTTGCTCTAAGTTAAAAAAGGAGAATATTTTAAAGGGGTCATATGATGCTGCTAGAAAGATATTATTGTAGCCCAGTTTGTGCTGATTACAGTGTTATTAAACTTTAGACATTCAAATGTTTGTAAGCAACTGAAAAAAGCACAAATGTCAGGGCATGTCAAAACTTTTCCAGGCCCCAAAACACCCTCGGACCCCAGAGGGTTAAAAGCAAAGCTTCTACTAAGACAAACAGTTCCTAACAAACAGCTTTGAGCCTAGACGAAGTTCAGATAAGACGAACATTTAAGGCATAATGTACAGTTATACTAATTACACAGCTTTCAATCATACAAATAAAGACAAGTACATAAAATGTTATATGAGAAGAAAGCATTTTAAAATCTTACCTGGTTATAATTACAACACAGTCAAAAACTGAGGCACAAGATGATGAGTAGTGTTTGAATGAAACCAAAAAGTGCAGCTTTCTGATAGGGGTGATATCGATCACTATCGGCCGATAATCATCATGTAATCCATCACAGTGTACAAAACATTTGTTCTGGCACCACTTCAGCAATATTACCGCTGCTATTAATACTGAAGCCCTCCGGTTTCATTTTACAGTAAACACAGTCAAAAACTGAGGCACAAGATGATGAGTTGCGTTTGGAGACCGTGCGCTCATGCACACTCGCAACGCACACACATAACGCCAGGTTCACATTACTCCGTTTGTAATGCGTAGGCCTATGTGGTGTGTATTTTTTCCGCGCTCATGTAAATGGATTAATAAAGCGTTCACACTGCACACAGTTGCGGTCCGTCAGTGCGTTCAGGAGCGGTGCGTCTGCAGCACTGCAGAGATAGTTTCGGCACCGAATCTATTGCTGCGCTGCAAGCGCTGAATTAAAGTCACAGTCAACACATATGGCTTGTTGCCTAGTTTTAAAGGAAAAGAGTACTTTTAGATAAACAAGGCAATAATAGACGGCACTCGTGGAGGTAGGAAAACAATTAAGTTCTTTATGAACCACAGGCAGGGATGGGCGAAGATACATCAAAATGTATTTTAAAATAAAATACCAAATACCTTAACATGCAGTAATGCTTTAAACACATTTGACAAGCTAGTTGATAAAAAAACAACAACCGATTAACTATTAAAACTGATTGGCTAACGCTATTTTTCCCCTTGTCAGTGCTCTTTTATTCTTTCATGTTAACTGACGGCAAATCTGAATGATGCACTATTTTAACTTTAATCAACATGTACAATTGACCATGACATCCTCACCTTATCTTATTCCAGAAAATAATTAATAATTGGGTCACTCACCCAATGCTGAATGGAGTTGTACAGCAGTTGTACAGCTGCAGTGATCACGTGATAAATGTTGGGGTTGGGAGAGGGGGTGTGTCTGAACTAAATCAGCACCCTGATAAAGAGGTTGACTGGCACAAATAGTTATAAATTATAAAAAGAAGGCTTTAAAAAGATCGGTATCGGTGATCGTATTGGCAGATACTGCTTTCTGTGATCGGCGATCGGTGATCGGCCTCAAAAATCCTGATCGGAGCACCCCTGATATGAAAGACATGAAAGTACCTGGATGAGCGGTGTGTTATTTGCTGTTGCTAATGACTAAAATTGTTATTGGGGAATAACACACCTTCGAATGTTGTGACTGACCAACAAGAACCCAGCCGTGTAATAATTTAAATTAAATTCAGTTGTAACATATTCTGACATAATTCACAAACTGTAACTAATGTCAGATCAATGTCAGAATACATAAGAATTAAAATTGGGAATCAGGACATACTGGACATATTTAGTTTGCACTGTATGAAGAATTTGATTTATCACTGGAAAACTTTCTGTAAGAGATGTGTGATGTACTGTAAGGAAGTAGGGAATTATTCTGCTATATTTTGTTTCCTTTTCGTTACCCTTTCAGTAACCACACACAGGTGTTTCCACAAGTTTAATAATATTGTGTGAATTATAGATTGTGGGTTTGATGTGACTTGCCATCGAAGTGAAAAATAAATTTGAGTTTTTGTACGGCTTCACACAGACTTTATATCACTGGGCTCCAACTCTTAGAGCACAATAATAGAGAGCTGAATCTGACAGAGTTACACCAGTAATAGTGAGTTCAGTGGATGATTGTGATTCAGTCATACGAAACCTTCCACTACTTGATTGTGAAGAATATGTTAAATATTGAAGCTCTTTGTTAGGATACTGTCTATACCAATACAAATATGCATAACCACTACTTGTATATGAACAGCTGAAGGCCACAGTCTCATCTTCCTTTATGACAACAGCATCTTTGTTTGGCCAAATCTGGTCCGCAGTCATCGCACCTAAAATAAATAAAAAAAATTAATAAAAAAATAAAACTCAAATTATCTCATTAATACCACTGTAATAAAAATAAATTAATCAATTATACCTGAAATCGTAATTAAAATGAGAAACAGGTGTTTTTCCATGTTGACTAGCTCAGATCAGGTGTGTATTAATGTAGTCTGTGCTCTGAGCTGTAGATCTGTGTTACTGTGAGTCTCTGCCGTTTCACACTCAAACACACTGGAACTTCCTGCTTTCCGTGTGATGATATCATCTACTGCTTCTCATGTTTTTGCCCCGCCATTGGTTAAAGCCTTTGCAACTGCAGAAAAGTATAGATTATTTATTAAGTAGATGATTTTGAAGATAAATACAAAACATGAACAATTAATGAACCAATAATATTAACAGTGATATTATACATTTTGTATTATGATAATAGTTACCACAGTCAATGTCACAAATATCATTAGTGACCTGAAAAATATTTCTGAATCTTAAAAGTTTTATTTATTTAGTGTCATAAATGTTCTTGTTTTAAATATTTCAAAGTGTAAGTTTGTTCCAGATTTAAAATAGATTTTGAATCCAATAATCAGGTCCTCACTGTATATGCTTATGTGTTAGTTTAATGTTCACTGAAGAGCTGATCTTCAGGTGTTTTTGATTGTTGTGATGCTTTGAGGTTCATGCGATTGATTCAAGTTTAGAAGCAGTTCATTCCAACTACATTGAGTGTGAAAATTGCTGTAAGACGCTGTACCGTTCTGTGATTTTACCACAAAATTAGGAGTTTTGAATGTGCTTACCACAGGACATAATTAGATTCTTCTGTGTATTTGCATCTTCATCTACTTTGGTTTGTTTCATCAGATTTCTGTTGGCCAAAAAAAGTTAACAGTGCTTTAAATGAATGAATTAATTGGAGTACTTTGAAAGATCATTCTAATTCTAGAAACCATTTACACCAAAATTACAATATTTATTCATTAGTTTTTAATAGTAATGTCCTATAGTATTTACAGTATTTTGGTGTCATATTATGGTATCATAAGAGATGTATCATAATAGCTGTGACAGTATACAGACAAAATCTATAATAAATGCATAATATTTAATAATAATAAATAAAATAGCTGAAATGTAATGTTTTTTAATTTATTTCTACATTTTTAACATGTCTGGAAACTATTTCTTATCACATTTAGACAGATGTTTATACATAATTTATTAGTTTCTGTGTATAACAGACTGTGATTTTGATGTGGTTCAGTTTCAAAGTGAAAAATTAATTTGAGTTTTTGTACAGCTTCACAGAGACTTTGTATCACTGGACTGCTACTCTTAGAGCACAATAATAAGAGAGCTGAATCTGACAGAGTTACACCAGTAATAGTGAGTTCAGTGGATGATTCTGATGTAGTCGACTGAAAGCGAGGTTCAGTTGGGCTCCCAGTACCACTCCATGAACGAGCATATTTCCATATTAAATACTGAGGTTCTTTATTAAGATACTGTCTGTACCAGTAAAGTGTAACATAGCTTCTGCTTGTATCATATGAGCAGCTCAGTGTCAGACTCTCCTTCTGTACTGATGACATTTGCTGTTGATCCTGTTTGGCAGTTTAGTTAAAAAAATAAAAATAAAAAAATAAATATAATATACAAATAAAACTAAATATTTAAGAGAGGCAAATAATCTCACCAAGAACAATTGTGAATATTGATAGAACCTCAACCAGACTCGTTTTTTGTTGTTATTTTATATACAATTAAAGAGGTAGAGCAACAGATGTGTAAAAGAGATATCTGTTAATTATTAAATAGAAAAGGAGGAGCTAATGATCCTGGAATGAGGCTTGAAAATATGAATATATGGTGCATTTCGCCATCTTATGGTTACCCAAAAGCATTACAAATGAAGTTTAATTTTCAAAGTAGGAAAAGAAAGAAAATACTATTTCTTTCCTTATTTGCATATTTTATTTTATATTAGCTTTATTGTTTTCAGAGCAGCAGAGATGATCATATCCACATGGTTTTCTTTATTGAGTGTAGTGACTTTTTAAGTGATTTACATCCAAGTGTACACTTTGAATAAATAGTGTTAGTAATATTAAATGAAGTTCCAAATGTAGATTCTTGAGGAGCCTAATCATTCAGACCATTCAAACATCATTACGAACCTATGTAAGCAGCTCTTGGACCGCCCCAGCATCAATTCTTCCAGCATCCCTCCAGCTCCCCTTCTCCTCCTCTATTTCTGTTATTCTCCCTCTAGGTGGTACCCCAAATACACTTATAATCTATGTATATTACAAGTAGATTTATGGAAAGAAATTGTTTATACACCTTTATCTGTGTCAGGTTTTTGTACAGTGTTCTTGTGTTTCCTGTGACTGTGGGCGTCAGAGCACAGTAGTACAGAGCAGAGTCTGATACAGCAGCAGAGGAAATGATCAGATCCACACGTTTGATTTCTTTTGTGGGATTGTGCAGAGGAATAACTGCAGGATAAAGTAACAGTTGAACCCACTGCAGCAGATTCCTCAGTGCTTTCTGCTGTGATTTCATCTCCAAAACTCACCCCTGGAAAAGAGCAAAATAATAACTTTTCAAATAGTGTTTGAATTTGATTGATTACAATTATCAATTATTTGAAATTATACACATACAATAAATAAAAATACTATATATACAGGTAAATTTTAATGCTATATTGTCATTATAGTAAAAAAAAATACATTTAGGATGCAATATTTTACGTTTCAATTAAATAAAAATAATTTAGCATTTAAGATGAGGAAATTATTTATGACAATATAAAATGTGTATATCCTTAACATTAGAAATACAAATGCATGCAATACATAAACAAATACACTTACATGTCAAGGCAGAGAGCAGAATGACTGAATGAAGTATCATTGTACATGTGTGTGTCACTACAGCGGGACTGAGCTTTGTGACAGAAAATGTAACAAGATCATCTCAAATGTATGTGCCAAACTCCTCCTCTTTCATCCTTTTTCATTTTTTTAACGGCAAAAAATTATTGTCAAATCTACACATTCTAAACCCAGCCATTACATATTTAGTAACGGTTTAATTTTTTTTACAATTATATGTTAATATATATTATATAAAATTGTATGTTATTGTAGTGGTAGAGAAGTCGTGTATTTGCATGCCATAAAGTTACTTTTTTCACAAAGTCTATCAGGATCAATTTATACGCCTAATGAATCAATCCCTATGGATTATGTATGGCCAAACATTCCAGTACTATTTATTTACAGGGTTTTTGTACAGTGTTCTTGTGTTCCCTGACACTGTGGGCCTCAGAGCACAGTAGTACACAGCAGAGTCAGACATACGCAGATTCTTGATCATCAGTGGAACTGTTTTTGATGTTGAATTCAGTGTTGCAGAAAATCTCTTCTTAAAATCAGGCTCAGTAGTTCCCTCACCAAAAGTAAATTTATTTAGAATGAATGTTGGTGATCTGTTTGGTAGCTGTTGGTACCAGAAGAGGTATGGGTCTGTATCAGTGGTAATATATTTACACCATACAATAACTTGAGCTCCTTCACTCGCAGTCATTTCTTCTGAAGACTGTTCAACCCTGTCCTGTCCCGAAGACACTGGAAAAATAGACAGAAAAAGTAAATCACTAGCATGAATTATTAGGAAGGTAAGTGTAAACATTTAGTAACCTATATTTAAGTAAACCTTTTTGCTGTAAAAGTATGCAGAAACAAAAATGTGCTTACCGTCACAATATACTATGAAGCACAGAGAAATCAAAGCCCATATAAACATAGTTGATGTATGAGGTAAAAGAACAGAAAATTCACTCAACTCTGCTTTCAAAAACGTTGTGCTCTTCTCACAGAGCTCTTCTTTAAATCATGTCACATGATATACTCATACTGACCCCTTGTGGATCAAGTTTGAAAATGCTAAACATGATGCAAACCCTGAACAATTCTTTATAAATGTAAGATTGGTATAAATAGTGTTTTTGAACAAATGCTTAATCACCACTATATTTATGTTATGTTTCTGTATATTTTAAAGCTATTTGCTCACTTATTTTAGTAATAACTGAATAAAGTAACTGAATAAATGCATCTAAAGTAGATTTTTATGATTTGGTGAGTTTGATCTCTTTAAATATGGTTGTTTTATAACATGTTATAAAGACCCAGAGAAGCATCTTTTAAGTCTTTGTTTTGGATCTTTGTATGTCTTCTTTTCTGTTATGACTTTTTTATGTTGAGAATGACAATCCATGTATACTGCTTTTTGCTGATTATTAGAGTGTTCCCTGTTGTAACTAGCAGATATGAAGGTTGGTCATGTAGATGCAATACTGCGAATCAGGTTTTTGTACAGTGTTCTTGTGTTTTCTGTCACTGTGGGCGCCAGAGCACAGTAGTACAGAGCAGAGTTTGATATAGATGCAGAGGAGATCTCCAGATCCACAAGGTTTTCTTTGTCTTTGGTGACTTTGGCAGTGAATCTGGAATCTACATTAGACTCCTCAGCTTGTTTTGATCTGTCTGAGATGAGCACAATGAACTCAGGAGCTGATCCGGGATACTGACGGTACCAGTGAAGATAGTATGCAGATGAATAATTGCAGGATAATATAACACTTGAACCCTCGTCAGAAAACACCTCTGTTTTGGTTGGTTTAATTTCATTTCCATATGTTGTATCTGCAAAAGTATGGGGAATCTTTCATGAACTGGTATTAATATTGAATCTGTAGGTAATTTTGAATATTTCGTTTCAAAACACAAAACACTTCAATACTTACATGCAAAGGCAGAAATTAGAATGACAGAATGAAGCATCATTGTGTGTGATTCTTTTTCTCTCTCTACAGACTTGAAGTTAAAGATCACATCAGGTATCAGTGCTTTAAACCCCACCTCTTCCAGAGAGCTCTTTGAGGGAGAAGATCAGATCTGTTTCAAACACCACTGGGTCATTTGATTACTGTTCATATCCAATTTTACCACCTTGTGATTACTTACTAACTCTGTCATATAAATCCTCAGAACACAACTAATAGAATGATCTATATTATTCCTCATACTTGGGTTGTTATAATACTAAAGCTCTCAATAATTTGATGACATTCACTATGCACAGCACTATGTAATTTATGTTTAAAAGTTTTATTTTATTTTATTTGCATGTTATTGTTTTGGGACAGAAGTAAATAGCATGTGGATTTGCACTTCATCATATAATTAAACACTTCCTCTGTTTTTGTATGAGTGCTGAGTGTGTTTCAGTCACTGTGGGCCTCAGAGCACAGTAGTACACAGCAGAGTCAGACACACACAGATTCTTGATTGTCAGTGGAACTGAATCTGATGACACCTCAGAGTGAAATCTCTCCTGGAACTGAGCATCATTATCTTCACCTCCATATTTGTTTCTCCTCAGCATGTATTTAGGAAAGTCATTTTCTTTCTGAATGTACCAGAAAAGTTCTGGTTGTGGTGATGTTGTTTTATATTTGCATTGTAATGTTACTGATCTTGCTTCAAATTCAGCGATGTGTTGATCTGGCTGATCAACGAGCTCTTCTCCATGACACTCTGTAAAGACAAAAAAATTAATAAAACAATAAATAACTTTTAATAAGGTTATAAAACTGTTTGAAGTAATCATGAAAATACATAGTCCCCCACTTACCATGATAAACTGATGCAAAAATGAACAACTTCAGCAACATAGGAGTTATCATTTTTACATGTGACTGAAACAAGAGAAAAACTAAATCATTAATTCAATCATTTGTTTCAGTAAGAAATAGGATGGTTCATGAAGAGGAGAGGTTCAACAGATGAGGGGAATGAAGAAAAAAAAAGATTTTAAGTGGGTTGTGTATACTGCCCTCTTCAGGATATTATTGCAAAAAGATTTTAGTGAGTACGTTTTGTATTTATTATTCAGTAGCATATGACAGAGCAATATTTAACACCGTGTTTCCAATGTCAGCATTCAGTCATTGATAATCTTCAGTTATTAAGTGGTCAAAAAGTGGTTAATAAGCAATAAATGAATTATAACTACTGCATAAGTATAATTTAGTACAATATATCCCCTAAAAATACAAAATATTAAATAAAAACCATTATCAAACTAAAATATAGAATACCGTATCTATCTTATTGAAATTAAATAAAGAAAAATATTTTTTGACTGACACACTTTGTTGTTGTGGATTGTTTTTTGTTTTTTTTCCTTCATTAGCGGAAGCTTTAAGTTAACATAGCAACAGGTAAGATTAAAATAAACTCAAACTTTAACTGTAAAATCAGTTTCATATTCATTTATATGTGGCTGACAGTGACTGTACATTATTCCATACATAGATCGAAAGGACTATGTGAAAAAGGTCCTCCTGAACATTTGTTGAGTCCACCAGTTTATGAAACACATTTGTGTAATACAGATGCAATACAGTGTATCAGGTTTTTGTACAGTGTTTATTGAGTTTCCTGTCACTGTGGGCTCCAGAGCACAGTAATACAGAGCAGAGTCTGATACAGCAGCAGAGAAGATCTCCAGATCCACACGTTTGATTTCTTTTGTAGCTTTTGAATACAGACGAAGATCAGGCTCAGATTTACTTGAATATTCATTTACAAGAAGTAGGAATTCTGGTTTTGCTCCGACATACTGGTGATACCACTGGAGAGAGTTAACATTGCCAGTGTTGGTGCTGTAATTACAAGACAGCGTCACATTTTTACCCTCAACAACATATTTTTCTGAAGACAGTGGTTGTATTGTATCAGCAAAAGATGTTTCTGTGGAAAAGAGAAGAGTCCCAATTAATCAAGCAGCACATTAGTATAACAGATCTGGATTTTATTTTTTCAAGTTTTTTCAGCTGTTTATTGATGTTTGTTGTTGTTGTTTTTTCATAATAAACATATTGATTAGATGAATATCTCTTACCAGTGAAAAGTTGAATTATCATCCAGGTAAAGACAAACATGATGTCTTCAGAGAGAGTGATGGCAAAAACAGTATTTTGAATAACTGTTTGACTCTGTCTCACACTCTCAGCAGTGTGAATAAACTCCACCCACTGCTGGAGTGTTTAATTTCTAAAAATAGGAAATAAAATGTGTGAATGTGTGTACATTTAATTTTTTTTGTAATAAGTAATTTATTATTAATATCAACATAAGAATGTATCAAGCGCATGTGGTTTTGCATTTGCTGAGGCTAATGGTCAAGACAAGAATAGTGTAATTATGTAAACTAGGTTATAAAAATGTGTCATATTAGTAATATTTAATTAAAAAATACATGTAATACTAATTATGTCTTATCTTTTGAACCAGATTTGGTTTGGATGCAAACAAATGGTTTGGATGTTTTTCAAATTATATTGTTTTACTAAATTATTTTATTCTACCAATGCAGAATATTTTATAGATGAGTTTTAATACTGACCTACATATAATTGTCTTGAAAAAATGAAGAAAAAAAAAAGATTATTAAAATGTATTAATAAGAAGGTAGGAGAAGGTTGAAATTAAGTTGTGTGTTGCATTGAAGTAGCAATGAAATGTGATACTCTGTACATATTTTTATTTTTTTAATTTAATTTATTTTTTAGTTTTATAACATGCCTAATTTAGACTCACACAGGTGTGACCACATATTTTATTACATTAAGAGCTGCATAGATTGTGGTTTTCACTAGATAACTTCAAAGTGAAAAGAGCTTCAGGTTTTTGTACATGTCTCATGTTTTGTATCAACGGGCTACTCTTAAAGCACAATAATAGTGAGCTGAATCTGACAGACATACATCAGTAATAGTGAGTTCAGTGGATATTTGTGTTGTAGCCGAATGAAACCGATTATCAGAGGTGTCTTCATAACCACCTGATGACCTTGCATATTTATATAATAAGAATTGTTCTCTGTTGTGATACTGTCTGCAGTAAAGACACACATAATCACTATTTGTACTATATGAGCAGCTCAGCTTGACAGTTTCTGTTTCTTTAGAAGTTTTTCTGTTCCTTTATCTGGCTCAATATTGTCTCCAGCCACCAAACCTGTCAACAATAAGCACATATGACCAAAATAGTAATAAACAAATAATACAAAATAAACTAAATAATATTGCAAATACAATGGACTTTTTTATGAAACCAGCAATCAGTCAATTAAATCATATAGCTTTTGGGGTTTTATGTTTTAAAACTGTTCAGTTTCATCAGCCGTTCAGCAAATAATAATAATAATAATAATAATAATTCATTACATTTATATAGCGCTTTTCTAGGCACTCAAAGCGCTTTACATTGTCAGGGGGTATCTCCTCATCCACCACCAGTGTGCAGCATCCACCTGGATGATGCGACGGGCAGCCATAGTGCGCCAGAACGCCCACCACACACCAGCTTATTGGTGTAGAGGAGACAGAGTGATGAAGCCAATCAGCAGATAAGGGGATAATTAGGAGGACATGATGATCAGAGGCCAATGGGCAAATTTGGCCAGGATGCCGATAATGTACCTGTTCCCACAATGAGAATCAGTATAAAGCATCTGTCCATGTTCAATCAGATCAGTTCAGTTCTCTGTTGAGTCTCTCAGTGCTCTGAGCTGTAAGTCACTGTCACTGCAGATCAGTCAGAAACACACACAGGAACTTCCTGCAACATACAGGCATGGCTTGCATATTGGACTGTTTAATTTCCCCACATTTGTCATGATCATGGAAATATCAACTGGTGAAAATATATTCGAAAAAATATTTTGCAGTTGTATAGTCTCGCTATTTTTATATATTATATCATTTGAAATATAGCATTATCTCCATGTGAATGTGTGTGAACACTGCCATCATGTGGCATAAATGATCCTGCCCCTTATATTGCACACGAGAATCATTTGAGATGTTTTGATGTTTGCCACATTTGACTGTTTTCTAAACAATATTGTATCACAATATTGTAGGGATTTAATTAACTTACTTTTAGACTGTTCCTTTGTTTTTGATTGCTTTACCAATAGACTGATTAAATGAGTTGTCTACATTTGATTTAGGTAGCTGCCTGAGATTTATTCACTGTTCCTGTTATTTCTCTGACTTGTTATTGTAATGGGTAGTTACCACTTTCTCATTGTCTTTTTCTCTTTCTCTGTGTTCCTCTCCTCTCCTATTATAACAGGTTTTTGTAGGAAACTGATGTGTTTCCTGTCACTGTGGGCCTCAGAGCACAGTAGTACAGAGCAGAGTCTGATACAGCAGCAGAGGAGATCTTCAGATCCACATGGATTTGTTCCCTTTTTTCAGCTTTAACAGAGAATCTTGGATCTACATCAGACACTGCAGCTTCCTTTGCACTACCGTAGGTGAGTACAAGAAATTCAGGTTTTGATCTTTCATACTGACGGTACCAGTGGATATAATCTGTAGCTGCAGGTGAATGACTACAGGATAATATAACATTTGAACCCTCCTCATAAACAACATCGGTTTTGTTTGATTTGATGCCATTTCCAAAGACAGCAGCTGAAAAAGAAAACACTTCTTCTTAATGAAATCTTTTAAATAAAACAGAAAAATTAATAATTAACCAAAGAAATACCTGCTAATGCACAAAATAGAATAACTGAATGAAGATCCATTGTACAAGTGTTCACTCTGGGAAGAGTCAGACTGAAAGTCTCTGTGATACACAGTTAGATCATGTCAGATCTGTGAACACTTGAATCCCTCCTCTCTGAGCCACATTATACCCAAGTTCAGTTCTGTAAATTAAATTCTGTTGTTCTCTTCTGCAATTCCTAGTGAATCTCTGAGAACACTGCCATCTTGTGGCACATTATACTGGCACAATGTGTTGCACATGATAATCCATGAAACATAAACTATAGACTACTTTTGCATGAATAATTTTTGATGTAATAAATGTAATTTTGTACATAATAAACAGTATTAGCATGCTTAATATACTTTGAAAGTCACATTAATTTAAAGGACTTATAATTTTTTAAATCAAAAACTTTTTTTTTTCAAAAAATTTAAGTATAAATGGCCATTTTCTACCCTGAATTTAGATCTCTGATTTGGAAGCTCTGTTGGAAGGAACGTGTCTGCTGTGAGAATTCAATGTAAACACATGCAGAACTGTGTTGAAAGCATTTACTGTGATTTTACTATAACAGCCGCTAACATTAACTAGATATGATTATTAGAAGTGTTGATTATGGCATTTTATTTAGAACTACTCCTGTTCCATGAAAGGTTGCAGCGCTGCACTATAGCAGTCATATCTGAAATACTTTTACCATAACTAACACAGTGAAAACATGACGCGTTGAGCAGTGTAAACTCTCATTGATTATAACAGGAGTTTTAGTGAAAATGTAGATTCATGCTGACCTTGAATTGACTGCTCCAGTGATTATAAAGAGAACAATCTTTGATTGCATTCTGTATCTTAAATAATCACAATATAGATAACAGAGTTTCCACACTACTAATAGGAACAGTGTAAAGTTGATGGTTTAGTCACTGGATTCACTAATGCATAAACAGCAGTAAACCACTTTACGGTAAATAACATTTGTACATGCGTCCATTCATATTACACCGATGACAGGTCATGATGGTAATGAAATGCAGTTTCAAATCAAGATTAGTTTAAAAAGTTTGCAAACCTTTTTTGCAAACAATAAGTCTTTCTTTGTCTA